GAGTAGCAAAAGCTAATAGTTTTAATTTTTTTTTTTTAGATTGGGTATTGATTTTATTCAAGTTAAGAAATCTTTTAAAACAGCTTACCAAGGAGTGTGTATTTGAGTTGCTTCAAATGATCATTTGGTAAAGTCTTCTTTTTCAATCGTCTGTAAAATTTAGTCGCATTATCTGGTGGATCACCATCTCCGGTTGTTGAGACGACAAAGACTACACATTTTTCGTCAACAATATTGAACTGAAAATAAAATAAAAAAAGTTAATTAAGTAATGATGAAGAAATAAAATTAATTCCTCTATTTAATGAATTGAAGGAATCCCTGGTCATCATCTTGAATTTTCAAGGTGAATGGTCCTGCAAAGCATTTCACTATCACCTTCAAGTATTTCAATATCACTATGTGCATGTGACAGTGCCCTCACAGTTTAGAATCAGTTTATCAACAGCCAATAAGATTGCTTCTTTCATCAATGCACTTGGCCAAGCTATCAAATATGGCTGCACACAGTGGAAGCTTTGTTGGCTTTCATATCAGGGCAATGTGGCGACGATATCGAGACATCGTACAACTCACAGATATTCAGACCAAATCTATTCAAGCTATACTTATTTCCGAGTCTGATGCGTTGTTAGTCGCACTGGAAACGGTAAATCATTTTATTATGCTTTATCGGCGTTGCGACCGCTGAGTGTGGTAATACCAAGTGGTTTTGGTAGTCATTTGTAACAATGCTTCCTATTGGTCAGTGAACTTTCCAACGCGCAACCATGTGGGATCCACAGTTATGAATAGAGTTACCACATGAGGTTGTGGAGGAAGGAATGTCCGAATGGAACAACACCGTGCAGGTGGATGATATTGGTTATAGCCCAAGATGTTTTTATCAAGGGATGGGTTAACATTTATTAAAATATGCAAGTAAAAATTGTTTTCATTTCATAGAATCATTAATACTGTAGTTCTCTTTTTGAAGTGTGTGGCGGCCCTGGCAAAGACCGTTTGGTTCATGCTATTACAAGCAATATGCTGATGCCACTGAACCATGCCATATTGTCTTGCCCATATATGGTAAGTTGTTCATATTGTCTTGCCCATATATGGTGAGTTATTCATATTGTCTTGCCCATATATGGTGAGTTGTACATATTGACTTTACTACCATATATGGTAATTTGTTCATATTGTCTTGCCCATATATGGTGAGTTGTACATATTGACTTTACTACCATATATGGTAAGTTGTTCATATTGTCTTGCCCATATATGGTGAGTTATTCATATTGTCTTGCCCATATATGGTAAGTTGATGTGAACTCCAGTAAACCTTGGTTAAGGTCTGCAAGTGCTTGTCACTTCCCACACAGAGGGCATTTGGTCCCAGCATGCTTCATGCACACACACCACACAAGGATTTGCATAATAATCAGGGTTCTGCCCAGCCTAATTTAAGTGCCAGTCCCTAATTAATATTCATGAGGTCATTAATATTCATGAGCTAATTAATATTCATTTTCCCATTCTACTTGCTACGATTTAACTACTTTAATTATTTCAACTTGTATTTATTTTAAATATTTCACTGTAAAATTACTCTGCCTTGATAAAAGTGAAAAAATATATACACTTTATTTTCGCAATCATGTCTAAAATACGTATTTTGAGACATTGACCTCTGACCTGGCAGCCATTTTTTTTCAGCGTTGGCAGATCCCTGATAGTACATGCAAAAATGCAATCTGTCCTAATTCTTTTGCATTCACTCCGTTCTGAATATTTGCGTACCTAAAACCGTGTCATAGCCCTATTATTATGCAAATCTATGTGTGGCAGAGTTGTGTGGGTGTGAAGCATGCTCAGGACAAACACTCTTTGTGTGGAGAGTGAGTCATTGTGGTATCTGCCTATTGAGTCTATGGCACACTCACCCAGAGAAAAGGCTGAAGCAACACTTAACAGTGATATCGGCTGAAATATAATGGTGTTAATTTCTTTACCTTTTTCTCAGTTTGACTTAAGCAAAATAGATCGGCTTTCAATCCATGGTTCTCAGCATCTTCCTGTATTTCCTCAGCAATGGCCTCGGCTTGTCCAGTCTGTGATCCATACAACAACAGAAACCTATTCTTATTTGACATAATATGCAACGTCTGAAAAATAAAATTACAGTAAATTGAGGTTATTGGAGAAAAGAGTTATCAGCAAACATACAAAATACTTTGAATAGCAAAAAACTGTTTACAGAGAGACACAAGAACAATTTTCATGAGGTATGAACTCAAGAAAAAACGATAGGGGTGTCTGGGCAGCCAGACCTCTACACGTTTTCAGACAAACAAACCAAAATGTGAAAAAAAATACCCATTTCAGACAATTTGCTAAAAATATATACACCTTCTAAAATAAGATTATGTTATATAATATTTCTGTCAAAATTGACCCTTTTTTATGACATGATTTATATTTATAATTTAAGTAATGAATGTTGAAATTCCTGACACTTGGACACTTTGGAGCCAACAGACAAAATTTGAGTCAATTTTCAAAAAATTTGGCTATTTTTTCCTCAATGTTTTGTAGGAAAGTGCAGAATATAAACAAGACTATTTTGTGAATTTGTGATGAAAACAGAAAACTGTCTTGGAATAAATTTACAGTCTGTGTGTTAACACAGGGAAAATTCAGATGACTGTTATTGGTAAACAAAATTACGTACAGATGGAAATCAACAAAGTGTACTCAGAGTAATATTAGTGTTCTGCGTAAAATACAAACTTTGTGGTGATACAGTGCTTTGTTTTACCACCACACTGGTCTGATACTGACTTATATTCCAGTCAATGTCAACCCCCACTTTCACACCTCGGGGTTTAGTGGGGGATTTGTAAATTAATGTTGTAAAATAGGCAAATCCCCACCCAAAACAAACCCCTCACATTTCCCCACCGCTCGCCACTGTCCGCCTAGCTGCGGTTTCGTAGCTCTTTGGTGTGACCTACAATCGAATTTCGCTCTAACAATTTCATTTGGACGTCTTCTTTTTTGTTGTTGTATGTCGAACATACATGGGCCGGCCAGAGTCAGTCACGTAAATAATGCGGTCGGCAACATAGGGCTAGGATTCCACAGCTACTGTCCGCCATGCTTGCTATCAGCAGAGTACTCAATGAACATATAGGCAGCTAGCGTCTAATGCCCCACATTTATCCAGTATCGCCCGAGGTGGGA